GACTGCAACTGCTTGGCAATCACTGCCGCCAGGTACCCAGGCAGTCCCGGCCCAGGCCCCTGCCCACTGCCCTGCCAGCATGGTTGGGGCAGAGACCCCCCCCCCCCAGGTCCAGGCCGAGGGCTGCAGCGGTCCCAGGGGACTCAGAAACATCAGACAATGTTCACACTACATGAAGTCAGGGTCCAACGACAAGTGCAGCAGAGGCGGGATGGGGAGGGCTAATGGCCCCCTAAGCCTGGAACTGGGGCCAGCCCAGCTCTCCTGCACACGGACCCAGCAGAGACCTGGAGAAAGCTGGGTGACCACATTCCCCTGGGCAACCCCGAAGCTGCTCTCATGTTCTCAAAAAACAAAACTGGCCAGCAGGACATTATCGAAATTAAAATTGTGAAGATGGGCATTTAGTGTAGTGAATAAGATGCCATTTGGAACACACACACCCCAGTAGGGAGTGCCTGGGTTCACCTCCTGGCTTTGTTCCTCCTTCCAGCTTTCTGCTGGTGTGCACCTGGGGAAACAGCCAGTGACGGCTAGGGGAGCTGGGTCACTGCTGCTCACTTGGGAGACACTGCCCCTGGTTCTAGCCTGATCCAATATTTGGGACAAGACAGTGGAGAGGAGATTCGTCTCTCTTTCCCTCTCTCCCCTTCTTGCAAATTAGTTAAAAAAGAAAACAATAAAAGTTGTCAAACTCCAAAAGCAAAACATTAAGAAAAAGATAAGCCAAAGCTTGAGGGGAAAACAATCTGTAAATCAAACATCTGATTAGGAATTTGTATTCAGAAGAGATACAGATTTTTTACAATCCCATAAAGAACAAAAATCGTATCATTTATAAATAAATAAAAGATGAGAATTACTCAAAGAAAGTATAAAAATGGAAAATGAATAAGTGAAAAGATGCTTAACACTGTCAGTTATTGGGGAAACCCAAATTGAGATGTCAAGGCGCGTCTCAGGGGCCAGCTGCTGATTCTGTGCTCGCCACAGGCACACGGCTTATGAGGGCCTCGGGATGCGGGCTCACAGGAGGCCTAGGGGATAGTGCCAGTGGGGCGTGTGGAGAACTGCAGGCTCATGCCCAGGCAGGCGGAGTGAGCCTGGGATTTCCCTACATGCTTAGTCCCGGGAGGAATGAATGGGTTGCGGTTCCCACTGGTGAGTGCAAGAGCCAGAATGGGAACTTTGGGCTGGGCTGGGCTGGACAAGGCTGCAGTCTCCCTCGGCATGGGTGTGGACTGAGTCTGGGGTGCACCAGACTAGGCTACACTCCAGCACTCACTGCTGCTCTTGAGAGCCAGGGTAGGTATAGGACAGGCTGGGCTAGGTCTCCTCCCCCTGCTGAACCACGTGAGAGCTGTGTCTGGGTGTAGACAAGGTGGCTGGGCTGGAACACCCAATAGTAAGAACTAGAATAGGAATAGGCTGGTCAGGCTAGCCCACTGTTCTGCCAGGACAGGAGGTAGACCAAGTCAGTCTGGGTCAAGATCTGCCCACCAAGATCTGGGCCACTGGTATGTGCAAGATCTGCCACTGGAAGGAGGTCTGATAGAGGATCTTGGGAAATTCCTCTGTCAGGATGCATTCCGTGCAGGTGAGCACAGCAGCCAAGGACGGAGGCAGCCCAGACCAGGCCAGGGAACAGTATCCGCCGGCATATGTGTGTGTCAGGTCTGGGGACAGTCCAGGTTGGACCAATTCATTGCACCCACTGACAGATCTGAGAACCAGGATGGACACATAGAATAGGCCGGGTCAGGCCACAACACCAGTCAGTTCACATTAGCGCCGAGACTGGAGGCTGGCTGGGTTGGGCTGGGCTAGGCTAGGCTGCGCTTGGCTAGGCCGCAGCGCCCAACAGCAGGAGCTGGAACTGGGTACAAACTGGGTACAAACTGGGCCAGGACAAACCAGGCTACAGGACCCACTGGCAGAGGAAGACCCTAGATGAGGTGGACCACAGCACACACCTGCACACGTGAGATCTTGGGGAAGGGGTGCAAACCCAGTTGGGGGAAGCACAGGCTCCCGTGCTGGGCTACTGCTCCCACTGGTGAGCGTGAGAACTGGGACTGGGGGCAGATCAGGCTGGGCAGGGCTACAATACCTGTTGGCCAGCATGTAAACTGGGTTAAGGGGAGAGCAAGGCTGGGCTAACCACTATATCCACTGGTACATTCATGAGCCAGAATAAGTACAGGCTGGTTGGGTTTTGCCTCAGTATAGGCTGGCAAGTGCTGGAACTGGGGGATTGGGGCAAGTCCTATCAAGCTAGACTACAGAACCACCTGGAGAGTGGAAGATCCAGGAATGGGAGAAGGCCCAGTGGGGAAACTGTGGGTACCTCTCTGATGGGCTGCAGCTCCCACTGGTGAGTATGAGAACCAGGACTGGGAAAGGGCCTGGCTAGACAGGTGGTGGCACCTGCTGGCATGAGTGTGGACTGGAGAGTGGGGTTGGTTGGGTTAAACTAGGCTCCAATGCCTATTGATGTGTATGAGAGCTCAATTGGATGTGGCACAGACTGGACCAGTCTTCCGCACATACTGGCAAGCACAGGAACCAGAGCTGGGGACAGGCCTAGTTGGGCATTATTATTCTGCACTATTCTGCAGTTCCTGCTGGTGTACATGAGGGCCGAGTGTGTAGGACTGTGTTGGTTTGGGCTGAAACATCTGTTGCTTTGCATAAGACATGGGGCCAGAGACAGAACTGACCCAGCAATGCAACTACCAGCATGTGCACTAGGCTGATTTGGGTGACAGACTGAGCCATACCCTGTACTGGCAAGAACACAGAAGAGTCGGGTCTGGAATCACCTCAGACAGGGTTTCTTTGGGGATCTCCCCAGATGAACCACAGGACTCAGAACTCCAACCGTGGGCAGAACTGGGCCTTCTCCCTGGCTAAGACAGAGCAGTGGATTGCATGCCCAGAAGCACATGGAGGATATGGCAGTCCACTGGGGCCTGCAGAGGACATCTGATGCCATAGCAGAGGAAGGAAGACAGAAGAAATTGGTCAACTACCCTAGCCAATAGTTGACAGCTAGAATCTGGTCGAATGGAGACTCTGAGGTGGACTGTGTCAGCCAATGGACCTTGGAAGGATTTCCTCATCCTTTGAGAGGCAAGATCAACAGAATTTCGGAACTATCTGAACCACCTAAACAAATCCTCCACAATGGGGAGGCATCAGGCATCCGTTCCCCATCCTCAGGTGCTGAGGCAGTTGGGAGGCTGGGTGTAGCTTCTTCCCTTATCTCCCCCCTTCCCCAGATACAGGAAGAAGAAAAAGAAAATTTGGAAACAATGGTCTCATCCACTTTCCCCTACTCCTCACTCTTCCCATCTGATCAACTATGTAAATATCAAAAATAAATAAATTAGTAACAAACAAACAAATCCTCAAAGCACTACCAGCTGGATTTAACTGAAAAGACTGACCAGGGCAGGTGTCGGTGAGGATACAGGCCTGGCCCCTTGCACACCACAAGCAAGAACGTCAGAACATACAGCCACTGCTGAAAACACAATGCTTATCTGTTAAGACCTTAAACTTACCAAGCAACACGGCAATTCCAATTCTAGAAATCTACCCATGAAAAAATGAAGATACATCCACACTGACATGTATGTCTACAAATTGTTCACAGCAATATTTTTCATCAGAGCCCCTAACTAGAAATAACGTCAAAGCGCATCAACTGGTAAACAGATGAACAGAATATGGTAAACTACCGCTACAGATGGTTAAGTCCACTGCCGCAAAAACTCATCTCCACATCTGAAGATGGGACTGCAGCGGCTTACTCTGCTCTGCCACCACTCTCCTCCTTGTTCACCAGACTGTGACCCCAACAGGGCCACCCAATCTTAGACTGCGAACCTCCAGAACCGTGCTCCCCAGTGCGCCTCCTTCCTGCCCGAGGGACTCCTTTCAGCTGGCTGACATGCGGGGATGGAGCACACCCCACAAGCCTTAGGAATATCTGTCACTCTTCTGGGGCACTAGCTGAACGACTGCTTCTTTTCCAGTGAGAAAACGGCACGACAGAGTCAATATGATTTGCTAGTTTTATTTTCCTCTCAGAAAAGATTCGGAGAACTGACAGACACGTAGCATCAGCTGTTACCCACGTCCGCTACAGATGTGTACACCGTTTCCACTTTCCAGCGATCAAGGTGATTCCATCATTATTCACAGTGCAACTGAAGATACTCTCCATGAAAGACACGGGGGCGTCTGGAAGATTTGTATTCTCAGACCGTAAATGCAAATGCACTCCAGCGGGGAGGCACCTGCCTCCTCCAGGTGAAAACCTCCAGTGGAAAGCACCATCAGCTTTCACCTCCACCCACCGGGAGTTCACAACCACCAGCAATCCCTGTGACAGCCGGCTCTGGACTTTGGTTTCTCTATCACCACACACACTGGAATTCAAAGCTTTCTTCACAGCATAAATATAAAAATGATTGAAGTCAAGGTTTTAGGGCAATCTTTTGTTAAAATATACTCTATTTTAATACATATGCTATAAAAAGGTCATTTTTAGAGCTCTGTTAAAATTAAGAATTTACTTTTTAAACATATAGAATAATGTACATCCAACTCTTCAAAGTCTATTCCAGGAAAACTTCAACTGTGGCACCAAATAGTTCTAGCTTCAGGGTTTCTTTCCAGTAAGAATGGTTATATAATACATATATTCAATGCTCTCTTATAATTCTGTAGTGCGATGCCTGAGTAACTGAAATACAAATGCAGAGGGAGCTGTGTGTTTTCCCTCGTGCAAACTACTAAGTTTTAAATATAAGCTCCTATGATAGAACTTTTATTTCACTTTAAAAAAAAAAAAACTCTGATATCCTAAATTCTTTCGTGATCAATATTTGGAGCTGCCAATGGGGCAGATATTACAAGGTGATAAAAATTAACTTGTAGGTGGCCCAACTGTGCGAGTGCTCGTTGTCCCCTGCACAGCAGTTCCACCGGGAATGGCAGAACACCTCCAGGGGAGATACATCAGCTGAATGCAGACCAGACCAAGGAATGAGGTCTTGGTACTGAGTGTACCTACATCTGCAATCTTTTATTTTAGATATAGTTGTAGGATGGAAATCTAGAAATGAAAATTTGTATCTATTTAACCCAAAATATTTACTCTTTTCGTTAGCAAAACATTCTTTAAAATATATTTGCTTCTCCTCTCTGGATATTTAGCCAGGAGCACTGGTAGTTTCAAAGGCTTAGAGCCTCCCCTCCAATGTTTCAAATGCTCTTGCAGAGAATACACAGCAGCGGTAGATAGCTTAGCTAAGACCACTGATTACAAATGCACCTGCACGTGCTCAGAGCACCCAGCCCGCCGCAGAGGGGGCTCTCGCTCATGACGGGGACCACTTCTGCTTCATTTTTCATTCTTAGAAGAAAAAGCAATCAGTCACTGTCTTCAAATTTTATGGCATGATGCGAAAGAGCAACGGGACAAGCCTTAGCTGTGACCAGGGAGTGGCCCTGTGCCTGAGCAGCCAGGCATCTGCCTCCTTTCCTGCTGGGCTTCCGGAGGGAGAACGCAGGCACCAGGACCTGGATGGGCAGGGCCTCCCTCCTCCGAAGAACAGGTCTTCCTCACTCAGTCAAGCACCCTGCAGTCTGCTGCAAGTCACTGCCCCTGTCAATCTCAGCACAGACTCCTGGCTGCAGGGCGTAGAGAAAGCAGAAAGAAACCAAGAGAAAGTCTTGACCAGGCGGCAGCCATTGCTGCATGTCCCTGCTGCTTCCGGGGCTCTGTCCTCACTTCCCATCAAAGGGAGGGATCTGCACTTCGTGTTCTTTGCAGTCAAGTCCTCTTTTGTTTCTCCTGAGAACCTTCTGTGAGTTTCTGTGTTTCCCCACAATGCTATCAGAAGCAGAGGAGGCATGCTCCCAGAGCAGCCAGTGAGCGCGGACCTTTCAGCCTTCCTCTGGTCAATGTTGAACCGGCCTGAGAGCACAATGCTTTCTCCTGGCAAATGACCACCTCTTTCGCAAGTGGACAATCTTTTTTTTTAAGGGGGGAACAGGTGTCCAAGGCGGCCCTTCTGAAGATACTTGAGGCCACGGGAGGAGGAAGTGCAGGAGAACAAACTTCCTGCCAGGCCTCACATAAAACATCTTGCTCAAGCGGAGAGCAGCTCCAAGTGTGAAAGTAAATATTAGTGTCAAAGGTCCCTGTGCCAGATGCACTCTTGAGATATCCTCCATGTTCTTACTTTATAGTGTTTGACTTTTTAAAAACACGAGGCTTTTAACGGATGAAACCAAGAGCGAGTGAGGGGAAGGAAACGGACATTGGAAAATGCGCCTTAGAAAAGGTACCGGATATTTTTGCTGGCAATTTGCTACTTATTCCATAACTTAGATCAAGTACGTGTTTGTTAAATATTCACAGTAATTTCAGAAGAAGAAACATTCAGATCTGTAAAACTTCAAATCTATTGCATTTTAAAGCTTTTTTTTTTTTTCTGTACAATTACAAAAGTCCATCGGCCTGTGCTTGCCTGGAGAGCCCCGTCTTGCTGGGCCTTCCCCCTGTGGGTCCGTTACACCTTCAGGGTGGGCTGCAGGAGTCCTTTCTCGATGAGATGCGTCTTGAGGGCTTTGTATATATGTAGCTGCTGCTCCGGCTGAAGCACCAACAGCTGTTGCAGCACGCGGCTGGGATTCGGGCCCCTGGCGGAAAGGCAGAAAAGACAAGGTTGGTGTCACTGTCACACAGCTACATGAAGCCTACATCCCAACGGAAAGCTAAAGCTATGAGGTCTGCATTGTGCCTAGACAGTTAAGCTGCCACCTGCAATGCCAGCATCCCATAGTGGCACAGGTTTGTGTCCAGGTTGCTCCACTTTTAATCAGGCTCTCAGTTAATACATCAGCGAAATGCAGCGGAAGACGGCCCAAGTAAGCACGCCAGCCCTTCTGTCATTGTAACTCCAACTTTCAAATAAAAGAAACCTTTTAAAAACAACATGAAAAAGTGTCTATAAATGAGAATAGCAGTTCCTCACCAGACTGAAACAGCTCTTGCTCAAATGCCCAATATCTGACCCAAGGGGAACAGAAACCCAGATGTGGAAAGAACATGCAAACAAAGCAAAGGAACAATACCAGGCAGTTCAGGGGCAGCAGACCTAAGTTCTTTAAACAAACAAACAAACAAACAAAAAACTTTTCTAAAGAGACACCCTAGTTAGAGGTGAGGACAAATAAACCCTGAACTGAGTCAAAAGACTGCAAAACTATTCCAAATAATAAAAGAAGTCATCAGGAATAAAAACAAGGCTGGAAGCATCACAAAACCAGATTTCAGGATATGCTGTAGGGCCGTTGGGGCCAAGGCAGCCTGGTAACGGCACAGTTACAGACGCGTGGACCAATGGGATACACTAGAAATTCCAGAGATTAATGAAGGACAGTGTCTTCAACAAATGGTATTTGGAAAATTGAACTTCAGCAGCTTGCAGCAGTTAGAAACCAGGTCCCTGCCCTTTACAAAAATCAGCTCAACAGTAGATCAAGGATCTAAACATAAGAACTGAAACCATTAAATTACTAGAGGAAAACATAGCGGAAATGCTGTGACACACTGCAAAGGCGAAGGCTTCTTGGATAGAATCCAAAATCATAGGAAGTGAAAGCAAGCATAGACAAATGGGATTACATCAAGCTAAGAGGTTTCTGCACAGCAAAGAAAAGGCTCAACAAAGAGGCAACTGACAATGACAGAAAATATTTGTAAACTATGTATCTGATAAGGGAGTAACAGTCAGAATGTATAAGTTCAAGAAACAACAGCATAGGGCCCTGCAGCATGGACTAGCGGCTAAAGTCTTTGCCTTAAACGCGCCAGGATCCCATACGGGCACCGGTTCTAATCCCAGCAGCTCCACTTTCCAACCAGCTCCCTGCTTGTGGCCTAGGAAAGCAGTGGAGGACAGCCCAGTGGTTTGGGACCCCGCATCCATGTGGGATACCCGGAAGAAGTTCCCTGGATCCTGGCTTCGGATCGGCACAGCACTGGCCGTTGCACTCACTTGGGGAGTGCATCATTGGACAGAAGATCTTCCTCTCTGTCTCTCCTCTTCTCTGTATATCTAACTTTGTAACAAAAATAAATAAATGTTAAAAAAAGAAAAAGAAAAAGAAACAACAGCATAAACAATCCAGTGGAGAAATAGTCAAAAGACATGAACAGGCGCTTTTCAAAGGAGGAAATATAAATGGCCAAAAGGCAGATGAAAAGGTGCTCAGGATCACTAGCCATCAGGGAAATCCAAGCCAAAACCACAGTAAGGAATCACTTCACTCCACTTGGGATGAATGTCACCCCTAAGTCAAAAAATAAATGCTGACGAGGATGTGGAGAAAATCATGCCGTGACACACTCTGGTGGGAACGTTAACTGACAATTACATAAACCATTAAGGAAGACAGTGTGGGGATTCCTCAAAAATACAAACGTGGATCTTCCACCTGATGCAACCATTCCACTCCTGGCAATAAGCAAGTGAAAGTGCTATCTGTGCCCCATGTTTATGTCATGTTTCTGTGTATATACACACACACTGGAATACTACTCAGCCATAAAAAATGAATTAACATCATTGCAATAAAACATGCAACTGGGGATCACCATGTTTAATGAGATAAGCCAGTCCTCCCCTCAAAAAAAAAATATTATGTTTTCCTGATGTGCGGTAGCCAATAAATAAGAGTACAAAACTTTTTTGACATAGATGAGAAAAAATGACAATCTTGGGGTTTAATATTTCCAGTCCTTGACTATATTTCTCAACAGCAGTCTTTCTACTTTTTCTTCACTGAATTTCTTTATTCAGTGGAGTATTAAGAATGCAAATGTAATATAAATTAAAAATATGTTATCACAAAAATTAAAATGCAAGAAAGGAAGGGAGCCTGGATGAGGCAGGATAAACCAAATAGAAGGTATGAAAATATAATTCGAATGTGTAGCTTCTAGGACATTCCACATGATAGAAGGCACCCTGTCCAAATATCCCCATGGAACTACAAATGTTCAGGAAGCAGCATGCCTAAGTCCTGAACCTAGCCCTGAGGCTCCTGCCTGAAGCAGACAAGAGGAACATCAGCTGGCATTCCGGAAACGTGTGCTTTAGTGCAATGGTGGACTTCTACTCACACACCATTCCCTCCCTGGACGACTGCAGCCTCAACTCATTTATCAGCCAGGACTTGTGCTTCTGCAGTTACATTGCTAAATGCTAGTTGGTCAAACTAAGGGTGAACCGAATCCAATTCTTGATAAACAACGACTATTCCTGGTACTTTCTACCGTCCACTTGAACAGAAAAGTAGATGGTTGATTTTTGCTTGTGGATAGCATTAGGCAAAACAGAATGGGCAACAAGCAAACAGCAAACTATGTTTTGGGAGTGCAGAGGCTTTTAAGATATGCACATGGGTAAGTAAAAGTGTCATTTATAATGAAGACTGATCAAATAGGACTGCTGGAAAGTGGGAGGTCTCTGCAACAAAGAAATGCCTGATTACAATGAAGATGCGTGCAGGAACTATTTATCATAGAAATCTTTGATTTAGCCAATTGCACAACAGCCCAGATAAGCCATCCCCTGGGTCACCTTCAGGCACATGGCTCAACTCATCTTCCAAAAACCTGCGGCCGTATGTTTCTCATGACCAAGTCAGAACCCAGCTGATCCTATCACATTTCTTCCAAAGATTCAGCAACTTCATAGAACAAACCCAGGGTGGGCACCCACAGAGAAAAGCAATGCCATTCTAGCAAGTTCAGCTAAATGCAAAATTATGTCAGCAGGTGCTCCCAGACAGCTGCGTCCTGGCACCCTTACTGTATGTATTTCCAATTGTCTAAATATTTGCTCTCAAGTGGCAGACCACCTGCCTCAGCATGACTTCTCTCCACTGAGACAATGAGGGATTTCTTCAAAAAAGAAAAAACCAGTGTGACTTAGGACAAAAGAGATCAATTCAACAGAGACATGACAATCCTAAGTCTACACACGTCCTTAACACAAAAACTTCAAAAGACATAGTGCAAAAACTGACAGAACCAGAAAGAAGGACATATTTATAAGCTTTAACAGAACTCCCTTGGCAAAAAAAAAAAAAAAATCATTGCAGAAAGCTTAATTAAACTTAAGCTTTACTTAGCTGACACACACAGCACGACATTTGAAGGTTTCCGCAGTCACATCTGTTTCAGGTGCACGGGAAACATGTACCAGAACAGAACACAGGCCAGTGTCCTCTGACCATCGTGACATTAAGACAAATGTCAGTAAGGAAAGGAGAAACAAAAGATGTTCATTTGTTCAGAAATGAAACAATACACTTAATAACCCCTGTATCAATGAAAATCAGAAAATACAAGTGAATAAATGAAAATATACATACTGTAACTTGTAGGGTAAGGAGAAAGTGATCCTTAAGGGGAACTGTATGGTCTCAGATGAAACTCAAGGGACTTTCAAACAGTTCATGGAAAGTGTATATGCTCAAGAAACCATGTACATAGATTTTAAAGTCTTTTGACTAAAGCTAATGTATCTGTATTCCAAATTTCCACTAAAGGGTCTGAAATATCCTTTTATTGGACAAGGCTGCAGAGATCAGTCATCTAAGCTTTATCTCATGAAGCTATTCAATACAGGAAACTGAAGCTAAAGAAATGGTAAAGGAAAGGCAGATGAGTAGAAATCAACGAAGCAGAAAATATACAGCAGTGAACACGAGCAAAGTCAGAAGTTGGTTCTTTGGAAAGATTAATTCTTTGATATAGTGCTAGCAGGGCTGCCTTCCACTCCACCATACACACACATAAAAATTGTTACTGAAATGCTCTCTTTGCTCTGGGGATATATTTAAATGTGCACTTAGGAATTCTCTAAATATGCATTTCACTCCCAATGAAGGAAATCCATCTTATTTTGATGGCTCAAGATGGGTTAGTAAGTGTTTTGCCGACTGGTTCTCCCCAGGAGACCACAGAAAACAAAATCAGCAAGTGGTTGATGAGGTCGGACTTCATGCCCAAAGCTGGCATTTTAGGAAAGAGCCAAAACACTGAGGCTTAGTCACAAAGATAAGCTTTCCTATATCAAATAACTGGCCCAGTCCACCCACTCACCAACCAACTACTTGTATTATACATACAAGTATTCCCAGTTCCTGATCCCTGCAAGGCTCACGCCTGAAAAACCACATCACTGGTTTCAAACCCAGTGACACCTGTCTTAGCTGGGTCTCTTACACGCTCCTGTGAAGGACCATGACACACACTGTTGAAATTGCTCAAATGTATGGAAAGTGACTACAATTTAACCAATATAGCTGAGCATGACAATTCCAGGAAGCACCGTTCACTTTGATGTAGTAGACTCCCAGTGTTAGAAAAAGCTTATTCAAACTCATGTTGACAGCACTAACCACCCAAAGAAGGCATTAAAAAATTTTTTTAGTGTAAAAGTACCTTATAAAGCTTGTGATGTACACATGCACAAACGTCGCCATCAAATACTGACAGTCAAATCTGTCCATTATCCCGCCGTGTCCAGGGATGGTGTTTGCAAAATCCTTTAGAAGCAAACACATATGTTAGCATGTTTACCCATCAAAAACTTACCTGACACAAAATTCCTGCCTTCTGATGTGTCACATAGCAGGGACTGTATAAGAAAAACGCTACTGAAGTTGTCCACTAACTACAAATGTGTTAGAACAAGTTTGACATACTAAAACTACATCCTGCAAATACATGCTTATTTTGGAATAATGTCTCAGCTCACCCACAGCTTTCAAATGGCACTCATTCAGCGTCAAGTAAACGCACTACTACCATCTCAGTTAAGGAGACCTATCCTAATAAGAATGTGCTCAGCCATCACTGATCGCGTTGCACTGCAGCCTCTCCTTGGGGTCCCAGAAGCCACTTGGGGAGCTGCTTCAGTGGCGTTGGCAAACGTGCAACCAGTTCCAACTCACATCTACCCCGGTGGGCCTTTCTCTGGAACAAACATTTTACTGTCATGGTTAACATCTCTTCCTGCTTCAATGTTGATGTAAAAGGAAAGTCGAATCAGCTAGCTTGTTTGCAATATGTGAGCCCACAAACGGCCACGCTGCGAGTGGGGAGCGAGCCCTTCCAAACTGCACTCTGCAGAGACAATCCACGCCCACGCAGGCAGGAGTCACAGCTGGCTAACTGCTCCTGCTCTATTAACGTAGGCAACCTAAGCACAAGGAAGCTGAAAAACGCATTTCAAATGTTAACACATTTATTAAATATATTAGACATTTGTTAAATATGTTAACATATGCTAACATATGTTCATTTCAAATATGTTAAAAAAAAAAGTCTCACCATTCAACAAGAAATCCTGCCTGAGAGACCATTCCAGAAATATATGTTCTCTATTTTAAAAACGATTCTATGGTTAGTTTTTGCCAACTAACTTCATTTCCTCCATTTCCTATTAATAAAGCACCGGAGGTAACCAGCTGGGGAGCAAGTGTTGTTGTGGCACAGCAAGTTAAGCCTCGGCCTATAACACCAGCATCTCACCTGGGTTCCAATTCCAGATCTAGCTGCTCCAGTTCTGATTCAGCTCCCTGTTAACGTGCCTGGGAAATGTGCCAGTTCCTCAAGGAGACCTTCCCTCCCCAGCCCTCCAGCTCCAACAGCCACCCTCTCACTCAGGATGGCACCACCTTTCACCTTAACCCCCTGGGGCCATGGAAGGGAGGCTGGGCGAACAGGGCTGAGACCTGCTGCTTCGTGATGATCCCAGTTAACCAAAATGTCAGGAGAGTTTAAAACGCCTAATCCTGGGGTCAGCAGCCCCAGAGCAAATCCAGCCGTGGCTTGTGGCTGTGAATGAAATCTCATTAAAATTCAACTACACCCACTCATTGGCAGGTGGCCTGTGAGTGGTGTTAAGTCCAGATCAGACAGGTGATATAAAACAGCGTCCCCGGTCCAGCAGAGTGGGCAGTCACAGCCAAAGGCTCTTCCTCGCATCCCTGCAGGTGAGGCTGCCCCCGACACAGAGGCTCACACACTGCGCAGGGCTGGATTCTCACAAGAAGATGCTGGGTACCACAGTACTAGAGCACACACGCCACATCAGGCAAAGAGGACGCTGTGGCACCATAAAGTGCACTGAAGCCACGTGGCTCAGCTGGACCAGAAGGGGCATTCCCCGTCAGCCAGGCAGCATTTCTGCTGGGGAAACACAGCACAGGTAAAGAGGTTTTTTTGCCTGGCAGGATAACAGTGACCCAAATCCTGAGTGACCAAATCCTAAGTGACCTGCTCTAATTCTACTCTCCAACCTCCGAGCAAAGAATCCCCATACATACCTTGATTTTGAAAGCTCTTTTGAACCCACTGGCAAAGAACCCTCCAAATGGGCCAATTAAAGATGCAAAAGTTGAAAGAGCAATGCTGTGAATCTGGAAGGGGTACAAGCTCACTGTTTCCTAAAGTGGAGAAAGAAGTGGAAGGCAGGTGAGGGTTGGTGGGGTTAAACTGTTTGAGCATGAACACAGTCCAAGGCCCGTGACCTGAATGGTAGGCTGAACCATGCTCCCACTGTCTGTTAACAACACTGCAAGGATCAAGGAGAAAAACACCAGCTCAGCTTCCTGCACCCCACCTGCAGAGCCAGAGGAACCCCATTCACTGCTGAAGCTCACTGCCAAGCATGCCGCCTGTGGCCACACTGCCACCGCACCGGCTACTCTCTAGCGCCACCCAGTAGCTCTTACGATGGTGGCTCGCTCGGAAAGAATCAATTAGTTACGTTTGTTTTTTCCACTAGCTGTTGTTTTTATAGTTACATAACTTTGTCTCATTTGAAGAAATAAGGGGAATGTTTGCCTCTTCTCCTAAATTTCAGTTGAATGGCATGGGAAAACACAGAAAAAGCTGTTTAAAGATGACCAAAATTGAGCCCCAGGAAGACAGTTACCAACAAACCGGAGCGAGGACCACATGCATGAGAACTGGTGTGCAATGGCTGCAGTTCAAGAAAGATGTGAGAAGATCAAGTTTTGAAAACATTTTCCAAGCAACAACCAGGAGCCTAATCAGAGACTGGAAGCATCATGACTTTTTGGCTGGTAACAGATGGCTTGGGGATGAAAAGAAATGCAGGGAACTCAAGCACAATGTATTCAGCAAATCATATAATATAAATCTGTGCTCAAAAGTTCTGGATGCTAGTGGCGGGCTTTGGCACAGCTGCTCAACTGCCACTTGGACTGCCCACTTTTCACACCAGAGTCCCCAACTTGACTTCAGCTCCTTTGCTTCTAATTCAGTTTCCAGCTTTTATGCACCCCCGGGGCCACATCAGACCCTGACTCAAAGGGATGTTCCCTGCTAACCATAAGGGACACCCCTATGGCCTTCGAGGTCCTGGATTCAGCCTGATCCAGTGCTGGCTGTTACAGGAATTTAGCAAGAGAATGAGTGGATGGAAGACGTCTGGCTCTCGGTCTTTCCAATAAAATGAAATAACAAAAACATTTTTACACAACTGATCTTAGTTTAAAAAGTAAAATATTTTGGGCCCAGCACAATGGCTCAGTGACTAAACGCTTGCTTCGCAAATGCCGGAATCCCATGTGGACACTAGTTCATGTCCTGGCTGCTCCACTTCGCATCCAGCTCCCCACTTGTGGCCTGGGAGGACTCTGGAGGATGGCCCAAGGTTTGGGATCCTGCACTGTGTGGGAAACCCAGAGAAAGCCCCTGGCTCCTGGCTTCGGATCAGCTCAGCTCTGGCCGGTGCAACCGCTTAGGGAGTGAGCGGTAGACAGAGGCTCTTTCTATATTTCCTTCTCTCTGTAAATCTGCCTTTCCAATAGAAATAAATAAACCCTTAAAAAAAAACTGTTCCAGGTGCTCACGGGTGGACACAGAGGCACACATGAGTACTCTATCTTCCACCTGCCCACCATCAGTCTTGATGACACTGACCAGGTGGGTGTGACTGGCGACATGTCAACCCCTTTCAGTGGAAGACCTCACAGATGCTCTAAGGCAAAAGTGTCTTCCACAAGGAAAAATCCTTTTCAGCAGAGGAAGCTTTCTGCACTAATAAACACCCTCTAAAAATCAGGGGCCCTTTGAACGTTAATTAGGTTTTAAACTGAGCTAATTCAATAACAGGTGAAACTCATTCTAATCTGTTTGATTCATTACACGCAAAAGTCCTCGTCAGTACGTAAGCCATTAGGCCAAGAAGTTCCTGCCATCCCAAATGAAATGCAGTATTCATATTTTTCTGCTCAAGAAAGTAAAATAACAAGGAGAGAGAACATATTTTTTTTAATGATAAGCAAACACTAGACCACTGTAATCATAATTAAAATTTCTGCGGAAACCGGTTCCCTGCAAAAACTCCAAGTCCCGCTTCTGCAGGGGACTTTGGGTCTTGAGAGTTGGGGATCCCTCACACGGGCGAGTGCTCTTACCTGCCTCCACACGGCCTTCAGGAAGGAGGGCAGGGAATAACTCCGAAGCTGGAAGAGCTCGGAAGGCTCACATTCCGTGACAAAGGAGTTCACGTCGCTGCGGTACTCCACCGGGCAGACAAAGTACTGGTACTTGGACAGCACATAGGCGGCCTGTGTAAAGAGGCAAGAATTCACAAAACATGGCCGGATGTGGAATACCTGAATGTCTTCCTATGAACATTCCATTAAGGGTTCTCAAAGTTAGTTGGGTAACCACTGGCCCTGTAAAATACTTCAAACATTTTCAGAACATGACATTTCTAGAGACTTCTAACTTGACCACAAAAAGGGGAGAGTGGAGAAAGAAAAAAAAGAAAGCTGAACTAATTGTAGTAATATCTACATTTTAAAAATACAACCAATCCCTGATAGCTAATGGTTACAAAGAAATAGGAGAATAGAGGATGGAGGTTGATAATAGACAATCCTACTTAATTTGGCTAATGATTCAATAGTGATCCAGAATGACTGGGAAAGGAAACACTATTGTTCATAACCAACCCGTCCCTGGTCACATCACTGCAACTGAGCCATGAAAGCAGAACAGTGAGGGTCAGCCTTGTGGCAGAGCAGGGCAAACTACCAGTATCCCATTCACTCACAAGTTCGAGTCCCAGCTGCTCCACTTTCAAACAAAGTGGAAGATAATAAAGCATTTGTTAGAAATTTAAACTGCTAAATATCAATTTATTCTTTCTCTTTTCTATGAACCCATTCACTCCATAATTCTGCTCTCAAGAATCATTAACAGTATAACAGTGTTACACTCACACTGTAACAACTATTATACTAGGAATGAAAATAAATAATTTTGCTTCCAAACAACCGATTTCTTCAAAACCGTGTACTAAAAAATTAGTTTCTCTCCTCATTAACTCTTTCAGATACTGCATTCTTCATTTTCTTTTGAGGATATGACTGCTCCTGTAACATTACCAAATGAGTCTTTTCTAATACTAAAAAGTTTTATATTAACCTAGTATTTTAATTATTCTTGATTTATAATATACAAATATTGAACAGAGGTGGATTCTTTCTCATTCTATTTAGTAATATTGTTCTCTTGCACGGAGAGTTTGGAAAATTTTATCAAATTCTATTAATTCCTCAGGAAGAACAAGCTAAACTAACAAGTTAGATGCAGGACTTATGGTAGCTTTTCCCCATCCAGGACCATGGTACATTTCTATTAATGTTCTTTTTATCTCTTCACACATACACACACCTTTATGCTTCATGTATTACCAGTTTTATTTATGTAGAACAAGTGCCAGATACTAGAGTCTCATAAATTTAAACTTCCTAAGGATAATTCTTACTTACGTTTCTCTTATATTCAACCATTTTACTATACTGATTCTCAGTTGGCATTCTGTAATAAAAACCTAAATTTTATAACTGCAAAATAACTTTAAAGATACAAACAATAAAGGAAAATGTTAATTATTCATGCTAACAAACTTTTTCTGCGAGTCAAGCTCACGACGGTAACCATCCACTGAGCCATGTGGTCTCCTAGGGTTAAGAAGGTAAAGCTTGGGCCCAGTGCCATGGCTCAATTGGCTCATCCTCCCTTGCAAGCACTGGCATTCCATATGGGCACTGGTTCATGTCCAGCTGCCCCACTTTCCATTCAGCTCTGTTATGGCTGAGGAAAGTATCAGAGGATGCCCCAAAGCGGTGAGACCCTGCACCTGCATGGGAGACCTAGAAGAAGCTCAGATCTGCTCAGCTCTGGCCATTGCAGCCATTTGGGGAGTGGACCAGTGGATAGAAAATCTTTCTGTCTCTTCTCCTCTCTGTAAACATTTCAATAAAAATGACTACATATTTTAAAGATAATAACAATAAGCGGAAGCTTGGGGCTGGTATGGTGGTGTAACAAGCTAAGCCTGTGCCTGCAGAACTGGCATCCGATATGGGTGCCAGCTCAAGTCCCAGCTGCTCTACTTCCAATCCAGCTCTCTGCTTAATGCCCTAGGAGAGCAGCAGCGGATGGCCCGAGGCCATGTCTCCCTGCATCCATAGGGAGATCCAGAAGAAATTTCTGGTTCCCAGCTTCAGACCAGCTCAGTTTTGACCATTGGAGCCATTTGGGAAATGAAACAGTCATTGGAAGATCTCTCTTTAAAGTAAAAAAAATATATCTATTAATCTCATTTTGTTAAAAAAAGGGCAGAGATTTTCAACATCATTTGCATTCTTACATATTACTCAAAGCCAGCTACTATTCTCACTCCCCTACGCACAGCCACGCCCTGAGACAGAACAGCACTCAGACACACAGCAGCAGCACCACGGGTCTCCCGCCTGCCTGTGTGTTAAGATCACCGGGGGCGGGGGCACTAGTTTGCCTGAACAAAGGTTGGGACACACACTTTGTTACGCTGCCCAGGCAAGTCTGATGCGCAGCCAGGAGGAGAGCTACTGTCGCACGCAGCTGCTTCTTGGTAGCTAACACCTTATTAGTATTATTTTGTGGCTTAATACTTTAAGGTGTGGAACAAACTAAGAAACTTCATACAGTTTATCAAAAGAAAAGTCAATTATCTTCAAAAAACTCACAATGAATCCAAACACGACTGTGGAGAAAAACCCTCCAATGAATCCTTCCCAAGTCTTCTTAGGGGATAACTGAAAAGGGCCAAAGAAAATCACAGAGTTACTTGGTTCACACACAACACTTCTGCAGAACGTTCAAGGGGTTCCTACACTGTACACCTGTTTCCCTCCTGCAAGCCCATTTTCCTCGGTCCACTGATCCTGACAGACTTGGGCAGTGCGCTCCCTGAATACACAGAACATGTACGCCCCCAGCCATGCCACAAGCTGTTAATAAATGTCTGCTGCTTATTTTTTTTCCTCCCATAGGACTTTACTGCATACTGAAATGCTTACAGGAACCTCCATAACGGCTGGCATAGCTCCAGGTACACAGAGTTGGCATTGACCTGCCACTGAACAACAATGACAGGACTGGGACAAAACCCAGATATTGTAGCTCGCCAGATTTTCCCATGTTGCAAGCAGGATACGCACTCAGCGTATCTGTGAAATACTCAGCCCTCCCCCCAAGACTGCATACCTGTTTCTCAAATATCCACATATACCCCCTCCCCACTACATGTCTCCCAGATGAAAGAGATGTGCTGTGCTTCTAGAAAGAGATACTGTTTGTCTGTCTCTACTGTTGCCAGTCAGTGGGCTTTCAGAGAGTGAAAGCTGGAACTCAGTGAGGCAAGAGTAGGTGGGAAAGACCCAGGAGCAGACAGGGCGCCCAAAGGTGCCGTGTCAGAGAAGGCTCAGCTGTGGAGGGGAACATGGCCCTCAAGGGGTAACTCGTGGTCTTGGTGAGGATCACTTCGGGGCAGCCAGGACAGAGCCAAATTTCAGAAGAAGGTTTCTAAAGTTAAAATGGGGTTGTGGGTTAAGCTAACAAGTTCTTCGTAGGACTCATATCTTGAGGATCCAAAAAGTCCAGTCAGAAGTTTCAGAAGAACTGGTTTCTTGGCTTCTGATAATACTTTCATAGTGAAGGGGCAGAAGCGTTTTCGCCTAGAATATTTCAGTGTCGGTATTACTGCCATGAACTTAAGAGGCAGCTTGGATTTCAAAGTATAACAGAGCTTATCTAATTAAGTTGACAGACGTCAACTAAGAGGTCAGTTGCTCAATTACCTGGATCTGTTATTCAGTGAATCCAGCCCCGTGAACTCACTGGGAAATGACACACACATGAAGATGGTTCGCAGCTATAGCTACCTCTCAGGGCTTCCTAAACCAGGAACTTCTGAGTCCACACAGAACTCTGAGTGTGGAATTACTTGCTCCTATGTGTCAGCAACTTTAGAGACATGCTTAAAATATGAGGTCACAAAATCAATGGAAAACTGAAATTAGAAGGTTAAGTTTAAGGATATGCATCTGGCAAAACAATCAAGATGGCATTAGGGCATCTGCATTCTGTATCGGAGGGTGTGGGTTCCAGCCCCAACTCTTTCCAATTCCAGCTTCCTGCCTAATGTGTATCCTGGGAGGCAACAGGTAGTGGTTCAAGTGGTTGACCTCTGATGCCCACATAAGAAGACCTCAATTGAGTACCTGGCTCCCAGGTATGGCCTGGGTCAATCCTGGCCATTGCTAGTATATTGGGAACGACCAAGCAGGTAAGAGTCCCCCTGTCTGTCATGCCCTGTACTACATCATGACACTTTCCACTAACTTAGGAAGTTGTTTTTATCTACACCATGCTAGCCAGTTCAGTCGTCATGTATTTGTGGGAATACAAGACTTGGCCCAGTCTGAGCTGAACAAATCCTATGTGAAGCTCTATAAAAACAAAACAAAACAAAAGTCAGTCTAGGAAGAGTCTGATTTCCATGAAGAACTGCTTAGTTTCCTTTCTTCTCCAAAGTATTAACTGTATTACTTAATTCATCTCTTTTAGTTCCCTCCATGGCCATACACAGAAGAAAGTCTCAGCAGGCAATCCCAGGCAGCCGGCGTGGTCTGCTCCTGCGCCTTTCCCTTTCCGTGCCTTTACCCTTTATGGGTGCTCAGTGTTTTCTGCATTACTCTAGGGCCCCACGATTTTTAATGGAAATGAGTTTGGGTGTAAAGTTTGACATGGGGACAAGATTATATGAATTTGATATAAGTCACTCAGAAAATTCAACCGAGGAAGGAAAAGGCAGCTTGAGGGGAAAGCGAGGTCAGCAGGGCCTCTTCAGGGGGGTTGCTGGGGAGGAGGGCGTGTGGCCTTCGCCTGTGAGAGGGGGCTTGGGTGCAGGAGCCCCGAGCTGTGGCTGCTAAGGGCGATCCAGGCGCTTTGGACACAATGGCAAGAGCATCATGCTGTGTGAAGTGTTCTGCAGAGAATTTGAAAGGTTGCACCAGTGGCTTGACTGTGATATCTTTCCATTACCTTTATTAATGGAGTTCTTCCAAAAAAAAATCCAAAAAGGTAAGCAGTTATGTCATTGCAGATAACACTCGATATTGGAACAAGGAACCTTCAAAAAAAAAATCAGCAGAAAAAAAGTCCATAAGATAAAGCAGCAACTTTTCACACATGCAGGTTATAGTTCATGGTGGACCAGGGTAACAACCATGGCCTGGGGCCCGGACAGGTGTAACATTAACAGCCATCATCAGTACCAATCCAATCTGCCCATTTAGCAATAAGGCTGAGTAAAATCTATAAAAAAACTAACATACTGAAAGATGATTGGTCAGGAATATGTGAAATGATCAATTTATATAGTTACAGACATATACGTTTTTATGAGGAACAGTTATAATAAAAAGACTTAAAGTTTATCTTAAGAACAGCCTTTTAAAACAGCAATGAGTCAATCATTTAGACAGAATCTAATCTGATGAATGTATGTTAGCCTCTTAAACACAAATGAACTTCAGAAAAAATAATTTTAACTCTTCCTTAATCCAATCCCCCCAATCAATTAAGTTTTTATGACACCATAAAATGTACTGCACCAATTAATTACACATACAAAATGTTGCTAAAATATGAATCTAAAAGATTTCAAGAAATGGGTTTTAAATGACTATGGGGGAGAGGGCTGCCACTTGGTGCAGCAGGTTAAGTTGGTGCTTGTGCTGCCAGCATGCCAAGGAGCACTGGCATAAGACCCAGCGCTGCAGCTCTGATGAGACGCAGCTCCATGCCGACGCTCCTGGGAGGGCAGTGAACGAGGGCTGGCGCAGAGACCCTGCCAGCCACAGCTCATTCGGATGATCCACTCCAACCTGGTCCAGCCACTGGGAAGTGAACCAGCCAGTGAGGACCTTTCTCTCTCTCTCCATTTCACTCTGTCACTCTGCCTTTTAACCGTACTGGAAATACAGTTAGAAGTTTCTTAAATTTTAAGCTTTTCCTTCATTTCAACTAATTTTTTTTTTTACCCAGTGATAAATTTTATATTTTTTCATGAATAGAAATGCTTTTCTGCAGGCTTCTGCTATAATGCAAGCAATTCAGTGCAGGGAATATTTAGAGGCCTATTCCTACAGGAATGCAAAACATAACCAGCTCCCTTTCTGCATTCTGGTATGCTGTCTGCTGGCAGGCAAACTGTAATATTCTTGCTGCATTCCCTGTGCCTAACACAGCTTTTTAAAACCTATCGTCTGCGGAAAGTCACAGGAAGGCTTATTAACACCTGCAATGTAATGAACTACCTGCGGCTTATGTGGGAACAAGCTGCATTTACTGGGAACTTAAAACAGAATGGCTTCCAGTTGTTGTTAATGAAGCATTTTGTCTTCAGCTGCCACACAGCAAGCAAAACTCGGTGCACTATTTTAACGGAATAGAGGAACAACAGGTAGTACATTTTAGTAGAAATCTATAAGGCACTGGCCAATGTTAAAGAGCCTTAGAGGCACTATCACATAAATATTAAGGAGCATAATACTGTTCCCTTACCATATCATGCCTTCAAACAGATTCTGGATGACAAGATGTGACTGAGTAACGGTTATCAGTAAAGTGACATGAGTCCATGCGAACTGTCAACAGCCCAACAACACAAACATTAGTTAATACACTGATCTGAGCAACCAAGGAAGCAAATGCCATTCTCAAACACAAATTCCTAGTGACTCAAGCCGAAAATTATGAGATAAAGTCATGCAAAAAAATGTTGTTAGCAAACCATATTCATTTTATTGTCTACTGGAAGCTTCAAAGAATGAAAACATTTAATAAAGCAAATCGTAATTTACACACAAATGGAATGGTCATAATACTAAGATACACTAATTAAAAATGCATATACAAGTAAGCCATAATCTTGAATTATTCAACTTGAACAGTAATGAGAAATTTGTGAGGTTGTTATGGCATTTAGAGAGGACAATTTTATTCTGGCTGCATTCTGAAGTTACAAAAAAATGCCAAAACTGTTTTTCTTACGTGGTCACTCTTTCTCATAAGTGTTATTTCTAACTTAAATGATTAGCAGGGCTCAAATGGCCCTTTCATGTCATACTTGAAACTTCTCTTCACAGTCCTGCTTAATGACAGTACTCACTTCCAAATTCCCAACAGCCCTCGAGAGTTGGCTATTGTAGGGATTTTTTAGCACAACACAGTGAGTAAAACACAAACTACCATTTCTACAAACTGGGTCTTACCATTTTGATTGGAATATATTAATTAGCTTTTAAAAATTCTTAAGGTTTTGATTTAGTCTTAATAAGCCCATCTCAGCCAGCAGTGTTTCATATGATTTGCTTTGTTTGACATTATTTTTTTCTGTTCAAAAGCTCCAATTTTCTTTTATGAGCTGCGTCAAAATGTATAAATGCTTTTTTCAATAGGCACTGTTTATTCAGTTACTCTTCTGTATGTGTGAATTCACAGCTATGGATTCAACCAATCACACATGAGAAATTGCTGAAAAACTGCATGCATGTTGATCGTGTACAGACCACTTCCTGCTTGACTCCCCAAACACTTGAATTTGTTCACAACATTTATACTTTACTAGGCGCTTCAAGTAATCTAGAGTTGGTTTACTGCATAAGGGAGAAGGGGAAGGGGAGATAAGAAAACCCTATGCCGTTTGACATGAGGGATTTTGAGCATCTGAGTAGCCAGGTGTCCCCGGGGCTCAGAACTAAGCCCTTGACTAAGCAGAGGGCTAACCACGTGTGTTCACAGCAGACTTCATTATTTCTCACGTGTCTCAGCTGCTCTGAGACTGTTGCTAAAACTTTACACTTCACTTTCTGGCTTCCAGAAATGAGAAATGTTAAGAAATCCTACAATTTCCTGAGGCAAGATGGGCATTTTCGTGGAGAACAGCAAAGCATCAATAGAGAATATACCCCATATCCAAACAAGCCTTAATACACAAAGCCACAGGTCTACATACTCACACTATATTGCATGTTAGTCTTCTAATCAGCTACATTGTACGAAAGTAAGTTCACCATGTAAAGTGGTAAGTTTCATAAAACACAGATGTTGATACACTGAACAAAATATACCCCAAAAATGATGTAATCCCATAACTAATCATAAGTACCCAAAAAAACCCACATGCTCCGCTCCCTCAGGCTTACACTGAAAGCAGGTAAACAAAGTTTGTCTCCATAGAACAATACGGCAGACGCTTCCAGGAGACTGGAAACACTCTTTATGTGGGTATGAATTTTGGGAATCCACACACTTACTTAACTTTACATCCTTAGGAAATTTTCAGTAATAACTTTTACGGAAACTTTTGCAACAGTTAAACCTTTTTAAATCCTCGAAAACTATTCAAGTTTAGCATCTTGCATATAATGTTCACACAAAACTGAAATACTTCCCGCAGTCAGGCAAGACATCGACTAGCCAATCAGTATCTACTCATTACAGGAAGAACAACAGAAGAGGAAGAGAAAATTTGTACCACATGTGGTGACTACAGAATGGTTCATACGCACCATGTAAAACTGCAGTCGATAATGCTTCTTCACCAGGCTCAGCACAAACATGCAGAAACCTGTTCAAGAGCAAAAGACGTGTGCTTGTTGTGCAATATTGTACCAAGTGTAAGACTCCCTACGCCCAAACACACCAGCTTCTTTCATCACATCTAGGCATAGTTTAGCCGCAATCATACCATCTCTCTATCTTAGGGTTAGCGTTTCAAGTACATTTCTTGATGGGAACAACCTTATAATTGCCATAAGGTGCCCAAAATACTCCCCACAGCACACAATCAACAAGCCTCTCCTGCCTTAACTCAAGGAAAACAGATCGAGAAATCTGAGTTGAATGAAACTGCTGTATCGTTCTAACAATTCTACATATAGGATATCTCCATATAGCATAGAAACAGATACATACTATAAAATGAATTCTTTCAGCAGCTAATATATTGAACTTATTAAATTTCAGGTTCTTGCATCAGCAGTTACACACAGGACTCAATTCTAATCCTTCCAGCATTCCTGTAATACAGGTACCTATTATTATCCCAATTTTACAGACGAAGGAAAACATAAAAGGTTCGTATTAATTTACTAAAGATCATAAGGGCAGAAAGCAATGCCCATATCTTAATGGTCTTCAAGAATCACATATTCCATCAACATGCATCAGATAAAGTTGAGTAATTTCAAGTTTCTGACTCATAAGTCATCACAAAACATAATATTGTAATAATTTCAAGATTGATATAGTGGGCATTCATTTACATTCTATACACTGTAATGAAAAAGTACTATACATTGTAATGGAATTCTTAATATGTGAAATCTTAAGCTAATACACAAACATAATGGGAGGCAATATGAAGTATTTTTTGCCTATCATATCGGCAAATCTCTCAAGTTAGGGGTTTTTAATAAACAGATGTATTATTATATATGCATAAATCAAGTTTAATTCCTGGTGAACAGCAGTCATGTATCTATTCCATTCCACAACACTTTCAAAGACTGAGTTCAAGAATGAAGCTGAACTGTGACTTGATCTCATCTATATGAAATAAAGCCCAATCTTCAGATCCTTGGATTATTCTCACCAAGGTATTCTACCCACCACGGTAGGTAAGGGTACCCTTACTCTCACCAGAGCAGAATCAAACCGCAGGTGTCTTTGGCTATTCTCTGATGAATGACTGATTCCAAATGTCAACACATAAAGGAGAATGACCAAAACAGAGAATACATACTGACCCCAAATTTGTATCTGTAACCTCCCCAGTGACCTGATAATTAGACTACAAAAGCATCAGGGAAAACATTTTCTAGGTGGAGGCATAATTAAAGCCAATGTGCCATCTTCTTAAGAGAAAGATCTGGGGTGTGGGTTCGGAGGAGGCACATAAACTTGGAATTCACAAAACTGCAACCATTGGGTGTATAAAAAATCCATTAAAAATTATTGCATCCCAGAGCGGAGGTGGGGACCACAGAGTGGAGCAGGTGGACAGGAGAGGGCTTATATCCCAACCCTGGAGACTCCCATATCCTCACCAAGGACCATCAGTACGGGCACCAAGGACTACATCCCAACTGCCAAGGAGACCACGGGGAATCGGAGTGCCTTCGGAGACTAATAACTCTGAGGTCATCCACTCCCGCTTGGATCTCCCACATGGGATGGAAGAAGCCCAAACCCTTCCTTGCAGGATCCAAGGTCATTGGAACAACAGCTAGAAACCCTGAACAGCCCACAGAAACAGAAGAACAGTAAACTCCCTTCAGGAATCGGGAGAGGAACTTTTTCTGGTCCTTACTTAGTTCCAACTTTGGATACCCATCCTCTGCAATGACCATCAGGGTTGCTCCAGAGGCCCCCCCCCCCAAAAAAAAGATTAGATAGACAGAGAACAACAAGGAAAGCTTAGAACCAGACAGGAAATGGTCAGTGTGGATTCACTTATACCTCACTAGGTAGGACACAAAGATAAGTTACTCCTCACTAAGGTATTGAAGATTTCTCTGCACACCCCTCCTAAAACTGTTCTACACCTCAACTGTTGACAAATGCCTTGTTAGAGATATAAGCCAGTTTGGACTATCCCAAAATCCACCAAGTTCAGTAAAAATTATGCTTCAACACTACAAACTACTAAATACAAAAATGAAAATAGACACGAGACAGCCAAATAGTACCTTATAGCCATTTTAAGGTGTATAGCAGCCAGTTGTATATATACTAAAATTGAAATGTCAATGAAGTAATCACAGGATGTGGTTAAGAACTTGCATTTTCTAACATATCAGTCACTCAATACCATGCCAATTAACTCCATAAAGTGATAAACTGTTGTTGATGTTATGTTGTGGCTTTTAATGGGTCAGGACAATATTCTGCCAGCTCTGCCTTCACAACAGAGTTGGTCTCCCCAAGAAACTGCTGAATTTATCTGGACAATAAGATGCTGGACACTATGCAAAGTACATGCTTGCAATGAAAGAATTATGACTGGATTTGAACTGTAATACTGCAATAAAGTAGAGGAATCCAACATGGGGGGAGAGTATGGGGAGGGGGTAGGGGAATCCCAGAGCCTATGAAACTGTCATAAAATCAAATGTAATAAAAAAAAGTATTGCATCCAAGTATTTCCTCTACAGGAGATCAAGACTCATTTCACAGCCCAAGAAACAATGTAATTTTCATGTTGCTTCATGCCAAAAGTTTAAAAATGAAGTCAGACTGGAGTTGGTGCACAAGCTGGCAGGGCAAGGGCATGGCAGAGATGAGGCAGATGCTACTGACACAGCTCTTCTGTCCAAACAGAGCCCTTCCTGACCAGCCCAGCACAACCGCAAGACTTCAGCTCTGGGGGACAGGGATGGCTACAATGCCAAATAATAAAGAACACTCTGTAAAAAAACTTATGGGCTTAATTTTTTATTCAGTACCATGTGCCCACATGAATATTTTATGCTAACACATGTACACATAAGTATACAAGTATGTATGTGTGTATCTATCTATATAGTTACAATTAACATATGGACCAATTATCTATTTCATCCACAGTTTGACTTTTTCCCTAAGTAGCAAAGACTATGTATATGACTACATTTCTAATTGAAATCATAAGATTTTGTTAGGATTATAATAACATAGAGAGTTCAAAAAGTTCAAGGAAAAGATGTTATTATATATATTTTAAAAAGCTTAGAATTCAAAATGCTTTTACAATAGAATAACCTTGTCTTTCAGTTGCATTTTCACTAGTTTTTAAATTTCAAAGCTCCTTTGCGAAACTGGTTCATCAAAAAAGCTAGCTTGAACGCAGTGCTTGTCTGACGATGCTGAACTGAACTATCTGACGGCCATTCATCCACTCAGTGCTGTGCGAGCCTGGTGTTGTCTGCACAAGGACGTGCACAGCCCACTTCCCAAGCAGTTCCCCAGGAAGTAACGGAGGGCTGTGCACAGCCCACTTCCCAAGCAGTTCCCCAGGAGGTAACGGAGGGCCGTGCACAGCCCACTTCCCAAGCAGTTCCCCAGGAGGTAACGGAGGGCTGTGCACAGCCCACTTCCCAAGCAGTTCCCCAGGAGGTAACGGAGGGCCAAGACAAGGAAAACACTAAGGAGGTCAGGAGAGATAAAGGGAAAAAAAGACACTGAAAAGTACAGAAGATGGGATTGGGGAATTTCAGAAAAATGGACAAACAAAATAAGTCCATTACTTATGAGATGACAGATATCAACCACAAAAATGAATACATTCACTGCCATTCGACAGCTCATGGTGTTATAGAAAACAGAAAATACAACAAAAAGTTGTTTTATAAATGTATTGTTGGTTGTTAACCAACCGAGTAAACATTGTAGTCCTTAACCCAAAACACAGATGCTACAGAGGGCACAAGGGGAAACACAAGCTCAAACCGACTCATCTGTACTCTTTACTTGGCTGTTTTTGTAAGGGGACATAGGGGCTCTTATTTTTTAAGTATAATTTTGCCTAAACAATCAAAACTCAAAATAATTTCCAACACTATACTAAATACACACTTTATTATCTGTCTCATTTTTGGATGTTAAACTATAAGTGATTTTTCAAAACAAGTTTTAAGTGAATACGCATTATAGAAATCATCACAAACCAACCCTATATTAGAGACAATTTTAAAGTTTTTTAATAATACGAATAGTGAGGGTAAGGGATAGAGGAAGGACTGCCATTAGAAGGTAAAGCGGCAAGGTGAATCAACATGGCAGAGAGGGTAAAGACATGTTTAAGCAGATGGAGAAATACTAGCCAGTGTGAAGCAGAGAGGGCACATTCCAGGAAATAGGAAAGGACAGAACAACAGCAGAGGGGCACCTGGAGACTGACAGACATAGGAAAGCAGTGGACACAACATTGTGGGTTGCAGTAACATACACCAGAGGCGTTCAGTGAGCACCTGAACTGCACCAGCAGCCGGAACTTCACCAGCAACAAGATGGGAAGGGACTTTCACCAGGAGCTCAACAGGTGAACCCAGACAAGAACTGCTGGTCCTGCTGGTTTGTTTGATTTGACTAGGAACAGAGACAGAGCAGCAGATCCCAGATGAGCTGTGCGGGAACAGGATGGATTTCACAAACCAGTCCACCCCCTACATCTGTATGGGGCGCCATTTTGTTTAAGGAGACAAGGGCTACGGACACTACTGCACATGTACTGAGCTGGGAGTGAACTCAATCCTGGCTCAGTGAACTGCAACAACATAGCATCCTACAGGTTCCATGCAAGATAAGTCCGAGTAGCCCTCAGACCTGACAGTCAGCAGATCAAGAACTCTATTAGTGGCACATCAGGGGCCATTTTGTACAATGTGGAAAAACTTTAAGACTGCAGGGACAATAGTGAGCTGCACATGTGCTGAGCTTGGAGAACACTCACTGGTCCCACATGGAAAATAATACCAACCATGGCATGGTTCAGGTAAAAATAAATCCATGTGGCCCTCAGACCTAATGACACAACAGGTTCCAGCAAGAGCACCACCAACAACAACCTAGCTGGACAGGACTTCTGGT